AATGACATCAATGAACATGCGCAGTTGTAAAATATCATTAAATTATTATCTTCAAACTTGCCGCCATCAAAAAACTTTGAAATTAATAGCGTTTTTATTGGCAGAACTAGTGCGCACTCAGTGCACTTTAAAGCCGTTGTGCAAAAATCGACGTAAAGATATACGTTTAATAAAAATATATAAACGAATTAAACCGTGAAATATTCGATACATTTTATTGTGCTATTTGATAAAATAAATTTTGGGCATTTTATCAATTGAGACATTTTACTTTTATATTTAGATTAGAATAGTGTACAACAGCTTTAATGTGCACTGAATACGCACTAGTTTTGCCAATGAAAAACGCTATAAATAACAGAAAACGAGACTTGTGGGACTATATTTTACACATGAAAATACATGAATTTATAAAATTACAAGAAAATCAAAGGGAAAGGCGCTGAATATTTAATCAAAGATATTATATCTACTTAAGTCATGTCACTCGCGAAAAAGTAGTAAATCCACATAGAATTGGAAACTTTGTCAAACATTCTTTATATCGCCTTTCTCAGCAGCGTGATTTTACAGATTAAGAATCCTTCATATTTTATTGTTTTACAGATTAAGAATCTTTCATATTTTATTGCTTTATTACTAAAAAATAAAAAAATGTTAAATCAAGATACTGAAAGAAACGAGTCGACGTATTCGAATAAAATAAAAGACATCAAGTGACTGAATGAGTTTACACAAATTTTACATAATTCCTTACAAGATCATGGCAACTTTTGCTTTTGACATTCTGCTTAAGTTTCTTTAAAATCTTTCTCATCTTGCTTCCCATAGAAAATATATTGCAGTTTTATCTAACTAAGAATAACTATATATATATATATATATACACACGCAATTAAAGGCTGAGAATCAAGCTCACTTCTCCCTGTCGATAGACAGACACGGAATATTTGAAACAAATGGAAAGAGCTCTCTTTGTCACATTCATAGTGATAGCTTAACTACAAAGATGACAATTATGCACTTTTGTGTGCAGAATGAATGTGTGTGTGTGTGTGTGTGTGTGTGTGTGTAGTTGAATAAACTATTTTAGAGTTTTTGGAATTATGTATAAGATAGCCAATTTATGTACACTGGTTTAGCCAACTATATATTAACTCAACATCAAATGTAAACTTGTATAGTTGGCCCATGACTGATATTTTTCTCCAAGTTTCTAGACTAACCTTTAAGCAGAGGCAACTGCTGAAGCTCAACATCCTGCGAGTTGCGATAACGGGAAGAGCCCTGCGACTTCTTGGATTTCTTCTTGAGAGATCGCTTGGCGAAGGGATCTATCCTGTCGACAAAGGCTCCTGACGACATTTTGGCATTAACAGAGGCACTATCCTGGTGATGCTCAAACGGGAGCGCTCGCGTTTGTTTCCTCTGGATGTTCCAAACTTTCCGCAGACAGCGGGCTCGTCTCACGACTAAAGACCAAGATCACCTCCACCCCGAAGAGGCCGCATTCCGTGGCCGCGACTGTGAGACGAATAACACTCTGAACTCACGAGGAAAGGAAAGAAAGGCACACACTGTTACCACAATGCACGTCACGCGGCTTTACAACCGATCGCATCAATTCTTCCTCTTTCTCTCCTGCCTGTTCTCAGTCCACGCGATCCTTCAACATACCTTACCATTCAAACTGTGTACCGAACAACGAGAGGAAATAACGGAGGTAGAGGACGATGATGAAGTATATTCTGCCAAGGAGAACGTTTGTCGCGCATAGCACACGTGGAGAACTCGTTCCCTCCGGTAGATCGAGAGAGCTCGCTGACCTCGCCGTTTCCGAAATCTTCAATTTCGTTCACGCAGTGCTTGCTCTATCGAACTTTAGCCGGCTTCCTGGTCGTCGCTGTTACCGTCACCGGGAGCGTGATAATCTCCAAATGGCTAGGCGTTGTCACATACGAATGCACGCCCGTGTGCCTGCCTGCCTGCCTACCTACCTACCTACCGACCGACCGTCCGTCCGTCCGTTCTTCCTTCCTTCCGCGAACGTAGGTGCTCCCACCTACACCGTGCGAAAAGTATGTGAAACGCTACGATACGACGTTGTAAAACGTCCGACCGGCGACTCTGGCTCAATCTCAATTCGGTACCAATTCAATAGACTCGCGACGCAAGACGCAAGGTGGATTGAATCGACAACGACGGCAGCGGCAGTAGCGCCGGTCGGTGGCGGATAGCTGCCGCTGCTGCTGCTGATGACGATTTCGTTAGCGATCACTCGGTGACGAGGACCCTCTCCGACGATGTCACGGATTGCGTACGTCGTTCGCTTGTACGTACGTACGCACGCACGCAACGTGCGACCGCGCGCACCGAGTCGAGAGTCGTACTGAACCGCCGGTGGCTGAAGAGGGAAAGAGAAGAAGCACCGTTATGAAATAGATGGAACAAGTTGCGCGTATAGTTGATTCGGTGGCGTACGTCCGTGTAGGAAGTATGGCCGTGGATAATAAGTGTGGCCGTGCGCGCGCGCGCGCACACACATACACGATATATACAATCGCTTGGAGCAGTCAGCAGACGGACGCGATCCGTCCTTCCGCCGCGCCGAGTCAGCCGAGTGGAGAGTGAAGAGATGCCGTCGATGCCGACGACTCCTTATCCGTTGCACAGCGGCGGCGGCGGCGGCGGCGGCGGCGACGGTGACCGGCAATTGCCGAACCAGGCAACGCCACCAACTGCTATTGCTGCTCCGTCTCCACTTCCTCCTACTCGCTACTCGCACGTCCGATGTACGGTGAACGGCACGACGTTTGGAGTAGACGTGTATGTTAGGAGCAGCTCTCAGTAGCATCGGGCACAACCGCCATCAGCTGCTCGCTGCTACGTGGAGGTCTGTCTCTCATTTTCCGGTGGAACGAATGCGACCTTACGTCAGGCGTCGACAGTCGCCGGAACGTGGCTCGACATCGCCTTGCGTCGCTGTCGCTGCTATCGTCACTCCTAACTCGGGCTACTCGGCTCGCCTGCGTCTTCTACTATTCTCTCCACTCGGAAAAGTCTCACTCGCGGTAAAATCTTCACTTGACTTCGCTTCGCTGTTCGCAGTTCGCCACCGCTCCGCTCACTCGTCGCACGCGCGCGCGCAAACACACCACTCCACCGCCCTGACCAAATCTCTCGCTTGCTTGCCACCGCACCGCACCGCACCGTGCAGCTTTTAAGCCAGGGAGGTGGGGGGCGGGGGGAGGTCCCCAATGTCCGTTCGCGTTGACCCGCGAGGTGATTAGGAAGTGAATCACACGCGGAGAAGAAGGATTCGAATCTCGAGACTGTCACGTCGCACACCGTCGCCCACCTTCACTTATTGAAGATCCGTCAAGTCAAGTCAAGAGGTGCCCTGCGTGCCTGAAAATAGTAACATGTACTCGGCAATTGTCGGCCGGAGGCGGCCGAATATCGGCGGAAGCGCTCGAGCGCGGCAGGTGGCGGTAGCGTCACGCGCACGCCCGGCACGCCGCTGGTAGCGACACTAGCGACGCGCCATTGGCCACAGACCGCGACCAATGGCGTATCGGCCGCCACTGACTGACCGCTGCGCTTGCGATCGATTCCTCCAGATTCCTCCCGCCTGCGAACGTCGCGTCGCGCCCGTCGCGAGCAATCGCGCTGAAAAATAAAATCACACGAAGGATGGCGCGACGCGTGGACTCGATCGTTAATGACGAATCACGTTGCCGCGTTACGTATACCGTGTACTGATGACTTTCATCTCTCTCATCTCTCTCTCTCTCTCTCTCTCTCTCTCTCTCATCTCTCTCTCTCTTTCTGTCTCTTATAAATTTTTGCTGTACATTAGTTGCTTTCCATTTACATCGACTCTCAGATAATTTTCCCTTGTGTGACGTCATAACTCAGCTGAATGCGCTCCTGCATTCTGACAAGTAAGATTCAAATGAATATTTACCCACAATCTGTATCGAGATCGTATGCTTTAGTGAGTCTCGTAAACCTACTTTAAAATTGTGGTTATAAACCTGTGTTGTCATGTAAATAAATTTTTACCAAAGTATGCAAATAGTGACGTCATTATTCCGAGAGTTAGGGCCTGCGTACAATAAAACAAATATTAGGAATAGGAATAAATATTAAAATTTCAACCTGTCAGATGCCAGTTACATCGGAATATACAATTTCTGAATTTCCAGATTGAAGTTTTAATATTTATTCCTATTCCTAATATTTGCTCCATTGTGGGCAGGACCATAGATTTATCAGAGCTATTCCCGTAGTTGCGCAGTAGCAGCGTGAATTTTGATTGGCTATTCCAGTGCATCAGCGCTATTATACGCAGAAAAATGCATATTGGGGAACATTTGATTGGTTATTTCCAGTATTACTATCGCCATTATGCGTAATGTTTCATCTTGTATATTTCCATCATATGTCAGAGAAACGCGACCGACTTAATGTCTATAAAGGCCCGTCTACAATACACAGAGTAAGAAGTAAGAGTAAGAAATTGACCAATCACAGTCGATTATTCTTCTCACATTCGACTGTGATTGGTCAATTTCTTACTCTTACTTCTTACTCCGTGTATTGTAGACGGGCCTTTATGGGTGCGGTCCACTTGGCGCTACAAACGCTTTGGAAACATTTGACTGACCAATCAGAAGAAAGAATTTCACTAATTGATTGAATCAAAAAATGCTCGAAACATTTGCAATTTAAAGTGGACCGCAGCCAGTGGAACGCATCCAATGGTATCGTTTGCAAGACGCACTGTGAAATCCACCAATTATCCATTAAGCAGCTATTTCGAATAAACAGAAATCAGTTTGTGATTGGCTGCTAAGTCACGTGATTGCAATAACCAATCAGAACACTTAACATTAGCCGCGCTTCTCTTATAGGATTTTAGTGCAGCCAAGAGAAAAATGCTATGTATTTAAAGTTGTTGTAAAATAAGAAAAAGGACACTTTGTGTACGAGTTTTATCGAAGATTGTCGACTATGGGAAAAAAGGAAAGAGCTAATTAACTAATTATAGTTTGAGAACCTCGATTACGACGAAGTAATACATAGTGAGCTAACAGTGTAATGAATTTGAATTTAGTATTGGGTGTCTTTGCGTCATATATCTCAAAGGTTAGGGTTCAAGGCGCCTAATTTACTTCAGTCAATGGAATTAAAAAAAAAACTTTAACGATCAATGTCTCGAGCCACGGGGCAGAGCGATGCATATTTCTGCCAGATTCTTTTGTTACATGCAAAAACGCTTATCAATTTCATTGATTTTTGTGGTGTGGGAGGGTAGTCTGAATAATCACCAAAATCAACGCATCTTTGAACTTTGAAGGTAAAACAAGCGCTTGCTGTCTCCGGTGTTACCACAGTGTTGCGACAGTTGTGACAGTTTTCCTAACCTATATAGTCAACTTTGACGACTAATATCTCCGTTCGCAAGGCAGAGCGATGCTTTTTTCTGTCAGATTCTTTCGTTGTATGCAAAAACGCGTCGAACAAGACTAATTTTATCTATTTTTGAGATACGCGCGGGGAGCTGAACTGTATACTTAATTACTCCTTATTTTTAAGCTATTTCAAGAAAAGCGATATCATGAATGTCCTTGCACGGTGTCCCGGATTATACTGTGGCAGGGAATTGCTGCCGGATGGAAATTGGAGCAATTGTGGAGCTTGTCCGCGTGGCTTCCGCGCTAACGCCTCATCGGCATGCGAGCCCTGTGAGGACGCGCCAATGTTCTACGATTGGCTGTACCTAGGTTTCATGGTTCTGTTAGCTTTGGTGCTGCACTGGTTTTGCATTGACATGGTCGCCATGCGCCGTAATATACCCAAAGAGGTGATCGCCCTTCATCTCTCTGCATTATTTGAAGTAGTCCTGGCATCCCTCATAGTCCTTCAGCTAACAGATCCCATTGGATCGTTCAGCATTAAGTCATGCAAGGCAAAAAAATTATCGGACTGGTACACGCTACTGCATAATCCGAATCCTAATTACGAAGCAACTTTACACTGCACGCAAGAGGCAATTTATCCATTGTTAGTACAGTTACTCATATATCAAATTAATTTACCCATATGAAAATACAAAGTTTTTGTTAAGTCTCTAGACTGTAAAGTATTTTTGTGATATAATGAAGATTAGTAGGATTACAGCGATAGATAAAACCTTTATTGACACTTAATTTCTAATCAAATAATAAAAGTATCAGATTAATTAATGTTAGAGTAATACTACTGAAAATTTATTATCTTGTCACAGAATGCATTACAATTTTCCCAAGTTAAATAAAAACCATTATTTTTCTCCAATATTTTGATATTAATGGAATATCTTCCAACACGCGCGCGCGTGCACACACACACACACATATATGTATATAATGCATCTCTAATATATATTACTTTATGATCTTACAGATATACTATGGTTTTTGTCTTCTACGCTTTAGGAATAGTTCTCATGCTGTTAATAAGGCCACTAATAGCTAAGAAATTTTTACCAAAACAGGGAAAGTTCTCTATTTATGCAGCGTTGTATTTCTATCCAATCCTTGCACTGCTCCATGCTGTGGGAGGAGGTCTAATATGTATGTTCTATATGTACACTCTATAGTGCTGTGAAATCATGTGCTAATTGCTAATTATATATTTTTTTACAGATTACTCCTTCCCTTACATTCTTATTATCCTGTCGGTGCTTTCAAATGCAGCACATTTCGCATTTAAACTGAATCAAACGGTAAAGTCATTGTTGTTGAGTTCCATCTCTGATATAAAGAATGTGATTGTCATTTTGGGCCATTGGTTGCTGCATGGATATGGCGTGATAGCGGTCGCGACTCTTCGGGAAATCACTATTCATCCTACAATGTTGCTCCTAGTTGTATTACCTGCTCTGTTTTATATTATAACGGCGAAATTCACTGATCCACACAAACTGCATATTGAATAAGTCTCCCAAGCAGAATATACATACATATAGTGTTTATACGTACTATCTCTCACATGTTTAAAATTAACATGATTAGGCTGTGTATTTATTATGTGATAAAAGTGAGATTTTACGGACATACACGTGAAAGCATTGTGGAATTCTTTTAAAAAGATTCTCTTTCAATAGTTCGTGAAATTACGAAAATATGAATGCTGTGGTAAAAAAAAGTTGATAGAGAACGATTGGATTTCTATGAATTTGTAGTTTTCTATAAATTTATATCATTTTCTATCGTCAACTTCGCGAGCATCACGATTAATCAGATATGAATCCTATTATATTTTATCAAAATGTGTACAAGATTCCTATAAGATTTGATTCAAATCAGTGAATTCATGAACCAGATTCCATATTCAAAACGATGGGATTCTTTTCTATCGTTCTCCATCATCTTTTTTTACCAGAGTATAGTATAAAGCTCTTAAAAGAAGTTAGCAATTTTTGTATTTAATGTTTGCTACATACATATATATTTCATTACATGTACGTACATCGAGATACACTTTTGCTACGCAATATAATGATTGCACACGGGTATACATAATTCAAATAAAACATTTTTTTCATATTATAGTTTGTTTCAATATACGAACGAATGAAGCTTTTGCACAAATCCAAGAAATAACTTCGCCCATTTTACTATTCTGGATTATGACCTAGATTATGACATTAAATATATTCGATCTCTATATGTATTTGTACAGGACATTAAGAGAAATAATATAATTTAAGTCTCACAAACGGAAGATGACAACTTTGGTAGAGGGTGAACATCATATGTTATTATTGATGCGTTCAGGGAAACTATTAGCTCTATTTCTGATTAGACTATCTTCATCGTTTATTAGACATAAAACAAGGACAGAATGGCACGAATATCTCCCCGAACGCGCCTTATATGTGATACTTAGGCCGCTATTTCGTCTATGCATTTTTATCGTACGACTAATGTTTTAAGCCTATTGATTGGCTACAAGATAGAGAGATCCAAGGATCTCTCTGTCCTGAACACATTTGTCGTATGACAAAAACGCACGAATGAAATAATAGTATCCTCAGCCATGGTGGAAGAAACCATGATATTAGTCAATTGATACGAAGAAAACTTCATACTAATTAATTATTATAGTACAGGTGTATATCAATTGCCCATGTCACTAAAATGGGCAAATTGGCAAATTTGAAATAATATAATATCATATGCAAGAATAAAATTTAAGAGTACGTTGAAGACATTTTTTATTTTTTCACATTTCTAGGATCTCGAGTTTTTATTGTTTTTTAAATTTAAATGCAGTTTAATTTTACACACATCATCTTTTTGATATACAGCTTTATTTCCATCAGTCTCGTATATTGAAGCAAAACGCAATCATATATAACTTTCATAATTTGAATTATTTTTTGGATTGATTTAATTATAAATTGAATTGTGTGTGTGATTATGATTCCTCTTTCGGTACAAATGTTAAAACCAGTGTGCTTTTTGGCGATATAGGTACAGCATCCGACGGCAGTTTCATCCTACAAAAGCGATAAAGTTCCGGTATTAAAATGAAATACTTATTGAACAGATAAAATAATAAAATAGATTTTTACAAATTTTTTTTAAAGACTTACTTCATAACTTTCGTACTTTGAACATAGTTGGGACTATGCGCAACTACACTGACTTCCTCCGATATCCGCGGTATTCCGGATAAATTTATAGTGGCTAGTTCTTCCCCAGTCTGATACGCTACGAGATATCCAGGATTGCCGCTTTTTAACCTATAAATTAAATTTACATATTTATTGATATACTTTCGTATTTTGATCGAGTATAGCAAAATATGTCGAAGAATATATACAATATAAAATATAAGTTATATGCGAAATCGTGTATACTGCCGATCAAAAATTTTAAATTTACCAGTATTTATAGTCCGTTGTTATTTAAAGACTATCTTAAGTAACGTCTAAGATGCTAATATGGCCTTCTGATTGATTTGTGACATCTTAAGTACATAAGACGGTATCAAATATAATATTATGAATACCAATCTATGATCTAATTTACATCGTGTTTCACTTAATTGTTTAAATGAGACGTATAAGGTTTCAAATAATGCAGAAAAGCAAGACACACATGTTAAAAAAAAAAGGAAAATCCTTTAGGTCAATTTTTATGGAAAATACACTTTAAAAATCAATGCTGATAGTGCAATATAAGGGAACTCAAATGTTTAACGAGCTATCTGTACGAATTCCCATTGTCCGATCGAGCTGAAATGTGACAGGGAGGAACTACTTTTTTATGGATTGTAATCATTCTAAAGGGTTCCGTGAAAAAAATTTAAAAGTCAAAAAAGATGGATCATCCTAATAAATAAATATACATATATATAACGTATATATACACTTTTAACTTTTGCGTGTTGTGTGGATAGTCTTAAACTTTTTGTCGGTAGTGTATAGCCATTGATTAGTTTTATTATATTCTTACAGTCAAGTTTTTATAGCAAAGTGTAATTGCGATACGTTAATACTGTGTGGACTCACCAACTTCTATGTCGCATATAAGAAAGCATGGAACAAGGAAAGTTCTTTAGTTAGTCTATTATAATATATTTATTATGTGAGCAAAGTACTTTCGTTAGTCCGCATTTTTAAGTCTATTCAATATCTATTTAATGTAAAAAATGTTGAAGAGTTTTATCCGTCTGTTATGAAGTTGTACAATCGTACTACTCAATACGAGATACAAATTAAGCAAAACATGTCGCTAAAAGCACTGAGAATACGGGTCAAGACGTTTAAGAATTTAAACACAATGAATGGAATAAGGAATAATAAACAAGGAATAACAGATTTCAACCTACTAGAAACTAGATAACCGGAATACACAATTTCTTAAATTTAAATCTGTTATTTCTTATTCCTTATTTTTTTCACTGTGTCTGAGTTTAATAAGAGTAACTCAATATAAGTCAATTGTGTTGTGTATTTTACATGAAGAAGAATTCGATTATCCAATTAAAACCTATTTCTTTTGTTCGTTTTGCACATAAAGTGTATACTCTGTTCTTTCGTACGTATAAATAAAATTAAAAAAGATTAATAAACAACGTTGAAACAATTAGCATTTTCAAGGTTCCAGTCGATAGTTAATAATATACTATTCTGTTGCTCATAACGCTTCTAAAAATGATTAGCGAATATAATATTTAACTTTCATTTATTTGTATTTCGATTTGATTAAAATGTATGTAAATTTTTGAACATGCTCATTACCGCACACATTAATTTTTACATAAATTGTTAAATTTAAAGAAAAATTATTTACCTTGTATATACGAAGACCGTCCCGTTTACTATTCTGAGCGTCATATTTCCGTGGAGGAACGTTAGACCACTTCGGGCACTTGACAAGGTCGCAAAAGCATCCTTCGCGGACATGACATCATCCATTCGAAGAATTGGTGTACCCGGTAATAACATGGTCATTAATACGATACTATCGGCGACTTCTTTAGGCATGCGTTGCCTCAAGGAAAGCTGTTTGCCATTCACCTGCGATTGACATATAAACATATTTAAAAAATCAAAGACTTAAAACAATATTAAACAAAGTATCTTTAAGACTGTAATATGAATATACAACTAAGAAATGAAAGTCTTATATGGTCTGGACTTTTAATGCCTCAATAATTCGGTGTGAATTGTGTGTGTGTGTGTGTGTGTGTGTGTGTGTGTGTGCGCGCGCGCGCGCGCGCGCGCGCGCGCGTGTGTGTGTGTACACGTATATCCGATCCAACTTTAAATTATAATATACAATCAAGATTATGAACATCTTTAAAATTATATGATAAAATTAATTTTGTTATTTCTAACTTACGTTCCACGCAGGCCATGATGTAACCGCAAGCCATTGTGATATGCTCCTACGCAGATCCGTCGCGTTTATGCTCGCATTAGCAGTAGTGAGAAAATGTGAACTCTGCGGTAGATCAATCGTTGTCTTATCGTTGTAAACTTGCAAAATATCTGCACGGATGTCATCTTGCAATGCAAATAATCTATAAATAACAGCATCACGTTAGTAAATATTGATGACATGTCTAATTACAAAATTAAGAACAAGCATACCCTTTGCCAGCAGTTTCATTACGAACGATCTCTTGCCATTTTGACAACACTGCAGCATTTTCTGAACGATCGCGTGTATAAATGTGTACCAGGGATTGGTAATTGTTCGGTTCTACGGGAAGAATACTTCTGGATTCGTCATGCAGATCCGGATCTTCCGTTAAATATTGCGTATTTGCCAAACGAAAACCACTAATGCCTAATTTAAGCCAATGAGTCAAGATATCCTTCAAAATAAATAGAACATAAGATATAAATTAAGGCGTGATAAATCGATTAAAGTAGAATGCGAAAAAACCTACTCCAAATTCTGCCACCACTGCTGGATTGTTATAATTCAAGTCGGGTTGCGATTTATTAAATTGATGAAGATAATATTGGCCTCTTTGTTCATTCCATTCCCACGCGGATTCACCATATATACTTAACTACAAAAGCATATTTTAAGTTAATATCCGTTATTCTTTTTCTGTGTTCGAGAATTACTTGTCAAAGAGAAGCTTAACTAACCCAATTATTCGGAGGGCGTCTTTCTTTTCCGCTGTTAGAGCTGGTTATTCCATCGGCCCAAACATAATAGGACGTGAATGGATCCTGCCTTTTTACAGATTGTTTAAACCACGGATGATCAACGGAGGAATGGTTAGGATCCAACTCCAAGAAGATCTGTTGATCTTTTTCCTTTGCTATCTTGATGATATTTCCCAAATCACTGATGTTTCCTAATTCTGGTCTGATGGCCTTAAAATCTATGACCTCTCCTACCATGAAAAAATAAGAATATTAATATAATTAAGATTACAATTAATATATCTTAGGAAGATAAATATGTGTGGCTTTTTTTTTGAGTGCATACCGTTTGCGCTTTCCTTCACCAGAGATGAGAGAGAAATAGCTCTGATATGTTGGTTTTTCAAATCGCTCAGTGTATGTTCCAGTTCTGTCAAATCATTATTGAAAACATCTGAGACATCTAGCTCAATAATTGCGCTCTCCTCCCATAGTTTTTTCGGTTCAGGAGCAGAACACTTTGGCGCTATTACAATGATGGCTATGGCACCAGCTAACATGGCTGCCCATATCAGCCAAAAGACAATGAACAAGGCCCATCTCAATCTGACCCAGAACGGATCGTTTGCAAATTTCATCAATTCTTCTTTTCCCATTCCAGAGAGCACTGTCTTCACCGCCTCAATATCGATTTTGGCATCGCCATTCTCCGAGATAAATTTCACCTATCAAAGAAGCGTACGTATATTATAAAATAATTCAAATAGAGCATAAAAAAAAGTTATGATATAATTATAAATATAGCAAAAGAAAATTTATAATATAATTATCAATATATCAGACTAACATGGCAACTGATTTTCAAAATATTAAAGAGCTGATCCTTAAAGTTTCAAGTATAAATATAACAAACAAAAATATATGCAATAATAAATATTTAGATTGTTCGCGTTATCTGAAATTTCTAAAAATTATTACCCTTAAAGTAGGTAAAGAAAACTATAATAACTTATTGGATTAGATCTTGCAAATATCACAGACACGTATTCACGCAAAACGTATTTATTGGTTGACGTTCGGTAATGGAATTTCTCATGCTTCTAAATTGTCGTATAGTGTTCCGAGTATTCTCGAATATTCCGCATAGGACTTAGGCTGGGTTGTTCGACTTTTCAATAAACTCCAACTATCTTATTCTCTTACTCTCTTATTTACTTTTACTCTTTTACACTCTTTTATCTAATAGATAAATTACATAGTATGGTTTATCTGAAGATGGAACAACCGGCCCTTATTGGAGCACGCTATCAACGGTTTGGCCGTCTTCGATCACGCGTGCGCGTAATGCTCCCCATTTTACGTTGTGCACCTATATTAGCGCTTTACATTTACATATAATTGGTGCTTTTCAGCAAGAATACAGTCAGACACAGTATAACACAGTGAAATATTATATCCTTGTTGTTTGCTTACGTTAAACAAGGAAGAAAAAACTCACTGTGTTACACAGTGTCTGACTGTGTCCTTGCTAGAAAGCATCCAATACCTTACAATTCTAGCCTTTATCTTCAGCGCACTAATTAAAATCATTACAAATCGGAATCATTACAAATTACATTTCACTATATAATCCGCCACGTAGACTCTAGTGGTCAATCTCCAGGCTACGTATTTTTAATTATGTATTTTCCCTTAACCAATTGACACGCTGAATGGTCTCAAAAAATTAAGACGTTTAAATGTAATAACAATTATTTAAAACATGAAAAAATTTTTTCAAAAACTTATGGGAAAAGATATGAAGGATAAACCGGGATCCTCATACAAACAACAGTGCTTTGACACCAAACTCTGATTGGTGGAAAGCCAGATGTGAGGGTAAAATTTATTCCCATCACCCATATTTTTCGCCAATCAGCGTTCAAAGCGCTGTTATCCGTATGAGGATCCGGGCTAACTTCAGAAGTACGCAGAGGGATGAATAGAGAATTTTCTTAAGGGGATGCTGGATCAAATTATCGAACCATTACAGTTCTATAAAAATCTCTGAATTGACTAACGGAATAAAAAATCCTTTTACAGGATTAAAGTAGACGCACAATTGGGAGGTGATGCAGTGGACTTCATACTAAAATAAAAAACAATAAAAAATTTATTAATTTTTCAATTATTAGAGCTGTCTTCTAACATAGATGTTTCCCTAATACAAAAGTTTATAGCTCGTATAGACAAAACGATAGTGCACCACCCGTCGGATTACGTGAACAAACAATACCGAGTTTATGAAACTAATAGCAAATTCGATTGGTCATACTCGTCATACTCAGTGTTCACTGATGCATATTAAAGCCACTGTACATAAATTGACGTAAAGATGTGTTTAATATTAATATAAAAACAAGTAAAACTCTTAAACTCGTCAAGTCCTCAACAAATTTTATTGTTCTGTTAAGTAAAATATGTATTTTATAATTTGAAATTTGCATTTTACGTTTACACTCAATTTAAATTAGTGTATAATGGCTTTAATTATATGCACCAGTGAGCACTAGTGCGTTCAATCAAATTCGTTATAAGCTTAAAAAAAAAAAAAGATTTATACGAGGTCTATAATAGAAGTCAGAGAGATCGTAAAACCTTAAGTTGTAGAAAACTAACCAATCACAATTGAATATGAGAAGAATAATCGACTGTGATTGGTCAATTTTCTACGACTTAAAATCCTACGACTGCTATGACTTTTACCGTAGATCCCGTATAATGAATAGTTATTGTTCAGTAAAAAAAATTCTCACATGTTTTACAATAGATATTTTTGTCATGAAAGTCAGAACGTGAAACAAAAAAACTCTGTCCACCCCCCATTCCAAAACGATGCCTTTCTTTTGTGAAAAAGGTTGTTGAGACTTAAAATTAAGATATCTCCCAGGTCCCAACATAGTTGGTCATAGCTGATTCTGTGGATTCCGTTTGTAGCCCGTGCAGAAAGTTCATTCCGAGAAGCCGTAATCGCACTAGTTAACTCTCCGCACGGGCAACAAACGGAATCCATGCTGTATGAGCCTTGGAGCGTCTTGTCTGCGTCAAGTGCAGCAGGCGCAAAATTTATCCCAATTTTTCCAAGAGAAAGTTTGAACCCCTTGACTAACAGTGAATAAGAGAATGCAACCATAATAGGATGTTTGATATTGAAACACTGTATTCCTGACAAAGGTCTAAGACGATATTGCCGATTTCTTTACCATTTTATCCGATGCGTAGTTTTTAAATTATAAGGAAAAACAGTGAATTATGGAACGAGTACAGAAAATAAGCAGGGGCGACCAAGTGACATGAGCACTGACAAGGGATGAACTCGTTACGATCAGTTGTTTATTACATGTGTATTATACATATATGCGAAATGAGAGAGGGAGAGGAAGGAGGGAAAGGTAATTATTCAGAACACTCCCGCCACTTCAATTTTTATTAGGCTCATTCGATGCGTTTTTTGCATGAAACGAAAGCATCTAGCAGAAAGAAGTATCGTGGTGTCGATCTACCCCGTAAACCGACATTAATCTAAAATTAATAACTATTAAAATTGATAACTGTTCAAATTAGGAAAATTATAACAGCCATGAAAAAGATCCTTTTCTCTTGTCCTTGTCAAGTGTGAAAAGTTGTACACTCGTTTGGAATTATTCGTGGGTTTTCAACTTGGCATGCAAAGATTTAATTTTAAAAATTTGCTTTTGGTTTTACGGAGGAAGTGGGACGAAAAATTTTCGCACATACATGTACAGGGTGGGCCATCTATTGGTACGTTTTTAAAAATGCGATCAAATGAGCATACATTGATATTTTTTATTAATTTTTTTTAGAGGGAGCCACATGAACGAAATCGTTTTTCATTAACTCTGTAAAAACGTACCAATAGATGGCCCACCCTGTATTTTACGATTGCGGAAAATTTCGTATCTCTCCTTCCTCCTCCACGCCAACACGGGGGGAGGGGGGGGGGAGGGAATGCAGACATCGTAAAGTATATATGTATGTACATAATACATGTAAGATAAGAAGAGTTCTGAAGAACCATTTGTCCGCGGCGGACGCATCTTGGCTCGGGTGCTTTTATCTTGTATATTTTTTAAAGCGTTGCCGACTTAGACGGTGCCTTGATAAACATACAGCTGTCCCGCGGTTTTGGATGACCCGTTCATCCCGACGCGCGTTCGTGCGGCGTTCCGACGTCTTAAACGCAAACGCCCGTATATGCGGGCTTCGCCATTTTCGCGGACATTGCATCACCTTTTACAACTTCGCACAGTGAGCCAGACGACCCGAAATCTCGGCCAAAATTCAAAATATTGATGGATTGGCATAAAACTCGGTATCTAAGGGTTTTTGGGGTCACTGATTTCGAATCCGAACTCAAAATTTAGAAATTCAAAATGGTGGATCCAAAATGGCGGCCGATTTTCTATAATCGTCTAATTTTTAAGAAATTAAATATATAACGGTTTTTTGGATCGCGCGCGCGCGCGCACTAATTCCGAATCTGATGTCAGAATTTCATAATTCAAAATGGCGAACCGAAAATGCAAAAACCAGTAAATTTTTAATGAAAACTTTTTCTCAGGGTCGTTGATTACGAGTTAGACATTACAATTTTTAAAATTACAGATGACGGATCCAATACGTAAATAGCTCTGCCACAGAAAGTAGTGCTAATATTTAGAGTAAATAAATGTATAGCATTATTATTTGTCCATTTTTAAAACAAATACGATTTTTAAACATTTAATTTATAAAGTTTATATTCATAGTTTTAATATTTTTTATTTTAAAGATAGGTGTGAAATTATCACCTGTATTTTGTAATCAAGCGGTTATTCCTTGAAACCTGTTACCAAAACCTTATTATACAGTTCATTTATATATTCTCTGAGATATTCTTATGACACATGAAATATTGTTACAGTAAATTTTGAACTCGACTTTTGGCCAGTTTTTCGGGTTTTCTAGCCCACTGTGCTTCGGAAAGCACCCAGTGAGAAATGGCAATGGAATCGATGTCGAATCGACGTCAATTCGATGATTTCGACATCGATTCGATGTCGATTCCATTGTTATTTCTCAATGGGCAGGAGTCTTTGTGCAATCGTTTTACGATTGTCTGCTGAGATAGAATCATTCTCTCTAAGCTAAAAGTATAATCCAATCAGCGCGAAAAAAACTTACAACGATTGCAAAATAAACCAAAAAATTCTGTTGAACGCAGCTATTAATATAAGAATATATATGCGAAGGGGGGTTCCCGCCCCGCTGTTCCTGCAAAATCAAAGTCAATTTTTAAAAATTAAATTTTGCTTTGCGTGCTAAATTGAATTGAAAACCCACCAACGATTCCACACGAGTGCATCTTTTCACACATAGGCTGTGATCGCTTTGACGTTTGTAGCGCTTGTGAGCATCAATTGTCCTTGTTTAATATTTAATAAACAAGGGTGAAATGACGCTTAAAGTATTGCGAGTGCCAAAGCAAACCCAGCTATAGTAAGAATAGAGAAGGGTCTTTTTAATGGCTATGATAGATTTCCTAACCTTAAGTCAACTTTAATGATTAATATCTCGGTTCAAGGGGCATTCATTTCATACAAAAACGCGTCAAACCTAATTTCATCAAAATTGAAAAACGGATGGAAATATTCTAAATAATTACCAGATTAGAATCTCAGAGATCGCGAAACCGTAGAAGCGAGACGATCGACACGAAGAAGATTCTCACCTCGGTGGTCTTCTCTTCCTTCTCAGTCGCAATTTTCGCGGTGTTATCCTCCTTAAGCATCCGCTCTTGTACATCCTGATCCAAATCCTCGCTATTCCGTTTGCCCATGATGACTGATGACGGTACAGCTGCTATTCTTTTCGTTACTACTGCGCTATGCTACGCTGTGCCAATGCTATTGATCCGTGATCGTCACGATCGTCACTGATCAACGTTCTCTCTTTCTTTTTGCTCCTTTGGCCAATGGCCTCGCCCTGCTTCTCCGGCTGCTTGCAGCTTGCGGCAGTTGCGGGTTGCGGGTTGCGGCTGCTCGCCCAACGCCCAGTCGGCCCGACGAAACCAACTCCCTCAGTGGTGATCTGGAGTTCTAATTATCGATAGCCGGTCAAACCGGGTCGAGCCGTTTACGGTGTAAGTGTAGTGCCGCCACAGGGCACAGACCTCACGTGCACATATAGGATCGTGTCCGTACTTCTCTTTCTATTTCTGAATCCGGAACAAGTGCAGCAGGGCTATTCTGTAATCCCACGCGTAACTCACAATTTAAGAAATTAAAACAGTAAAATTGTGAGGATTTCAAGTAACGCAAACAAACCTTATATTCTTAATTTAGAGATTTGTTCTGTCAGCGAGTTGGCAACATTGTACATGACATATGTTAAACGGAGTATTGTAGAGTACGAAGCTTTCTTGTCCATCAAATCAAATATATGCCAAATGATTCAAATGACCAGGCTGGAAATCAACGTCAAGCGACTTCTAACACGCTGCGAATTAATAGCGAAGGATGATCCACACAAAGACTGGAAGCTCGAAAAAGTGCGCGAGCTAGTTCTTATATTTCTACGTTTCTATCATGTTTTTATTTAATATACATTACAGTTAAAGTTTTATGATGAGAATAACTTCATACAATTTCTTAAAGTAAAAAGTAACATTAAGATAATTTCAATGGATAATTATAGTATTTATTATAGTATTTTTTTTTATGAATCAGCATATGCTTATATATGTGTGTTGAGTTATTTTTAGAACTGATTTTGTTTTAGAAAATATGGGAATTTATTTTATGTATGATCTATAATAGTACAACACATAAAATTTACTACATACATAATATTTATATTGCACTATAAATACTTACGGATTATACAAGTTTTGTTTATGTAAATTCTTTGTTTCAGTATATACTTTCTCTAGATGACATGATGAACAAACTGCAGACTTCACCGAAGTAATAGTTTTAGTTATAAAATATAATATTTATTATTTATTATTAATACTTACGTATTAGACTATAGTATATACATAATGTGACCAGATGTTTCAAATGATTTCAACAGGACAGTCTTGCTTTTGGAATGTTTGTTCCTCTATCTCATTAAACATATTAAGTATCTTGATTTTAGCAAAAAGTAGCAAAAATATTTTATTCAAAAATATTTTATTAATCTTTTCAAATTATGAAATACAATATGAACTGCTTCCAAAAAGTATTTCAGCAGTTGAATAAGTTTTTTTCTGAAATAAACAAAATATGGATAACGAAAAAACTCTACTTTGAGTTTATATTTTAAAAGCAATATTAATAACAAGAATCAATTATTATTTCAGCTGAGAGAATTTCATATAGATATTTTTTAAAGATTTACTAATCTTGTTAAAACACATAATTTTAAATCATAATTACAAATAATTGCATTATTTTTTAAAAATAAATTGTTACTCTTTACATCTATATATTTTTTCTTCCCCTTCCTGCTTAATAACATTCCCGCTTTAGATTTAAAAATATCTGGTCACATTAAATATACAGAATGTCCTCAAACTTGACAATAATTAATAGGAAACTCTTTTGTAAACGTATTCTATAACATAACAACAGTTAATATATATTAAATGAACTGTTGAGCAATAATAACATTGTGGGTGTGTGAGATACTAAGATTTATAAAATAGGCCTACAGATTATTTCGAAACGAAAATCCAAAATGTCAAAGTTATAATAATTTTTAAACAAGAAATATTTAAAGTTGATTATTGAAATTGTGCAAAATTCACATATTCAGATGTAGTACATCATTCAATGAAGATATTCCTAAATATCAGTTTTATTCTTGATATTGATGTAACCTTCTGCAGAAGGTTCGTAAGAAGGTAGGTGACATTTTTTAAGAATACGGTAATTTCAATGGTAAACTTTAAACATTTCTCGTTTGAAAACTGTTAGCCTCAAGATTTGGATTTCATTTTAAAATAACTTGGGGATTTTATTGTTAACTGCACTTGTGCAAAGTCTAAGACAACCTGTACATTTAAAAAATTATATCTATTATTATATTCACAATATTAAAGATGTTTGTGTAGCATTAAAAAGTTGAATTTATAGTAAACCATCCAAGGACACCATGATGGGCTACATGAAGCGGATAAATTTTCTAAAAGGAGTCATAAACGCAATGAAGTTGTCAAATCCAGTGGAGAGAGTAGTTGCCGCACAATTGTTATCGAAAAATTCAGTGTCCACTAACAATTCCGCCAGTACAAATATTACAACGCAAATACATCAGAAGACTGTTGCTAAATACAATCGGGAATTACGGGCAGAATTATTTCATAGCAACAGAGGTAATAATTTAGATACATCTCATGCTGGGCCAATTTTAAGCGACTTGACTATGCTATGTAGCTCACCGATGACCCGTGGCATTTTTGTTTGTTATATTTGTTAACACTCTACCAGGTAGAAAATTAACATTGATCATATGTGAATATATCTCATGCCCCATGCTGTACTTTTATCATAAATGTACTATAATTTAGTATGATTTGGTAACAACGCATTCTTCAGTTGCATGAAACCGGTAACATGCGCGGTACTTTCTAAAAAGTTATAGAAATTTATTTTGCTAAGATATGTCACACCCCATTTGGTTTGCGGAGGATTAAATAACATATATTTCATAATGGTTAAAAAAATTACAAAAATTATTATAAAAAAGAAGGCCTAATATACCAATATGCATCATATATCACAATTACATATCTATTATATAAAAAAATTATTTTATAACTATGTTCTTTCTGTTTATAATTAAAATATCAAACAAGGATACAATCAGATTTCCACCCGAGTGTCACTCAAGTATTATTTTATCCTTGTTTAACATTCAGTGAATAATAAGGATAGAATGATATATAGATGACATTGAGTTATGTTCAGATTCTCATCTGAACATAACTCAGTGTCATCTATATGGGATGTTTTTTCGTTATCCCACCAGAAGCTACCACAGCTAAGGCTATCTTCGTCTTCAGAAATCAAAAGACGAAGATAGCCTTAGCCGTGGTTGCTTCTGGTTGTATAACGAAAAAACGCTACTGAACAGAAAGTCTACCATACATCATTGATGATCCATGCAGTATAGAACGTGTTAATTATAAAACTAAGATAGATTTTTACATATAATTCTCGACATTAAATCTCGTTATATGTTACAGAAGCAAATAAGGATGGTGTACGACAGAGATTATCGAGCTCTAATATCAAGGATGAAGATCTGGATGCTATTTTGAAGTATAATCGTAATATTCAGGAGAAGATTGCTGAGAATATGCTCTCCATGACCGGCACCATGAAGGAACATGCATTAGCGGCTAGTGCTATCATAAAAAAGGATATCGGCACGCTGGAAATGTCTGACAAATTGACTGATGTAAATGCTATTAATTTAAAGAAGGAATCCCTGAAGTTAGAAGAGCATACGAACTCAAAATGGAGGTGCTGGGTATGGCTTATGATAGCTTTCGTTCTGGTTGTATTTTTTAGTGAGTATTTTATATGTTAATTATACAAATGTTTTCTAGGGACAGTGTGGCTGAAATTTCCTTATTTATTGCTCGAATTTCTAAGTTATGTGATGTTATATTGTTGCTAGTAGGTTATAAAAATATTAGTTGCTGAATTGTTATTTAAGTTGCATTAATATTTTTATGTATTTCAGACATGGTGTTATTTATGAAAGTGACAAGAAAAAAGATTTAGGTAATTTTCTATATTGAAGTGTTAGCAATCGCGACTGAAATGGATGGCTACGTGTTACAATGCATCTGACTATGTGAGTCATTGGACTGATATTATGATGATAGAATTGTATAGCCATAAGTGTGCTAGTAAAAACACCTGTGCCACCTAAAACCACTTGAAAATCTGGTAAATATATTACAAAATAGCGATACATCAATTTACAACTCCATCCAACATTATTATATATAATTTATCTTGTTATGCACAATTTGATAATAATGTCCAAGTATTTCTTGAAACATTCCTTGGTTCTAATGATTGTAAATAATGGAATTTTACTTTTTATATATATATATATATATATATATATATACATGAATCTTTATGTATTGTTCATGTATTACATAGATCGTTTATTTATGCATAGTAATTTGTTATTTTTGTTATAAACTCAATAAAATTCTACTATGTATACATTTAAGGTATATATGCCTATTGAATATCCACAGGATAGAAGCGTGACGACTATCCCTCTATATGGATAGTCGGCACACTTTTATCCTGTGGATGTAGCACATTCACTTTCGACGATACGATTTTATCGACAGCGTCAGAAAATGTATAGGCAGTAGTGCACGAGCGATTTCGACGGTAACAGGAAAAAGGCTGGCATGGTCTTTCAGGTTTCTCTCTAGTCCAACGATAATGACATTTCTTAAAACGATCGCTTTATGAATATTCAAGTGATTTGTAAAAAGAATATTATCATAACAAAGTCATATGAAAATTATATATATTAATGATTACTATACTGATTGTACAAGTTGTATGATACAGAAAAAGTAAATTTGAAGAAATATAGACTTAAAATAGAGAGAGTTGAAATATATGACAAAACCTGTACAGAAAGAATAACAGAGTGGAATGTTTTTCTTTTAAATTAGTTAAAACTCATTTTTTAAATTGTTTTACATAAATAGCTGTAATGGAAAGTAATAATAATAATAGTGTTATTTTGCATGTATTCTTAACTGAATATTATTATATTCCAATCATACAATCTTTACGAAAAAGAAAAACTTAACATTGTGTTCTATTTCAGCATTATACAACGATATACATGTAATTCACTACTTGATTTTATCCCTTTTATCTTTTCAAATCTTTTTACTGAACCATCTATTGAAATCTAATCTCAATAGTAATCGAGCCAAGTGTTCGCCACTAGGTTGCGCACGTACTCTATTCAATGTTTTTGTCAACCAATCCATTACGCTATCAAGTGTTTCGCATAATGTTTTGAGTTCTTCTTTTTCCGTTAAGAGCAAATTACCAACTTCCCACATGGATGCTTGTAAGATGAAATCGTCGCACAGTCGTAGTAAAAGGTGTATCAGCTTGTTCACCTGTTAAAAATATTCATGAATACCAGAATGACAATAACAGAGTTCAAAATGAATCAAAGAATGATTTACGAAAGATGATTCGTCAAACCTGCAACATTTTGTATAAAAAATGTTTGAATTTTATAAATGATTCTAATGAAATTTACGGGATTTTTTTTTCCTGTTCCGCTGCCTAGCAAAAAAGTTTGCGACATAACATTAGCCAGAAACATCGAATGTGCCTTTTGTATATCTTCAAAATTTCGCGTGTTCTTCATATTCGCTTCCATTATAGTGTATTGACTTTCCACCACATCCACTTGTAAATAATATTGCAAGTTATCGACGATAAAAATCAAATTATTTCTTAATTGGATCACGCCGATGTCACTGCGAATGTACATTTTGTTATCGTAATTTTGGATAGCAAAAATATTACTTATCTTATAATAAATAAAAATATATTTACAAGTCTTTGTGATGCATGTGTTCACTCCAGAGATTCCACAACTCTATCTGGGTCTTCTTAACTCTCAACAGAAAGCGAAATAACGTATTGTAATCGTTTAACGCTACCGGATTAAACAACAGATGCAGTGGCCAGACAACCTTGTACTTCAATGTGATCATGCCCCATCCACGTTTCTCTAAAATAAAAAATTTGTTCGTCTTATATTTGAATATTTTATAAAAATCTTGCGACGCAAATATGTACCATTAGGATCTTGCTTTTCGTTATCAAAGAGATCAGTGGCATCCGTGTTAGCGTCCTCGTTCTCAGAAGGTAGCATAGGCACCACGAAATTAAAGCTGTCGATAGCGCTTTCATCGTTAAGGTGTATCTTTCTCAGTGCCATTTGAAACGCAAGATTAATGTCTCTGGACGTATGACTTGTTGGTGCCTTATTCAGAATGTGCGTCGTGAGCTTGATTAATTCTAAGAAAAGATCACCGCGTCCCATCAGGAAGAACTCTTTTACCAGCCTGAGTTGTTGCATCAGCTGTGCCTCTTCAACGGCAACATGCCACAAAAGTTCGGTCACACACTGTTTCAATTCATTGATCGTGCGATCGAACTCAACAATGTTGAAGATTGATTTTGCCTGGAGATTCTGAAGTTTCCTGAAGTACTTGTACTCTTTGTCACCCCATACGGAATTTTCTGTTCTGGGTATCGTGCTGAAATCTAAAGACATTTAGCTCTTCATAATTATTGCATGATTGCACTTATTTGCTTATAAAATAATTATAACAAGGTATTTTCCTTTTTAGGTAATCAAAAGTTACAATTTTTTTACCTTTTTTCTGTCTGGGATCATTTCCGAACATAATGACAGTCTGACCGATGGTCAAGATTTTATTTGCCAACGATGGCTTGATGTAAGATGGAAGCATGTCTATCTGTACATTGTAGTCCCACATATCAACATCAATCTTTTTATTATTTATTGATTCACGTGCATCAATGTTGTTCTTCCCATCCTCGTGCATCAAAACTTTCTCGCAATCCGATATTTTTTGTATAAAAAATTCCCTGTGAGGATCTTCTAGATGCCCATATAAGAGCCAGCTTGTTAAATGCTTATAAAAAACAATATGAACAGAATTGGCCATCCTAAAAGCGAGTAGACAAGTATCATAAGGCAAACAGTGTCAAATTTCATTATAAATCTCTTACAATTCTAGAGTGACGTTGATCTCGGGTATGCCGGTATGCATATGCTGATGTAAGCATTGCAACAATTTACAACCATGAAATTTCTGTGTACGAATCTAAAATGAAAAAAGTCAGTTGATAACATCTTTCTGTGTCAGCACACAAATTATAATATTTCATAATAGCAGTTGTTGGATTCAATATACATTTAATCACAAAAATACTGTGTGTCATTTTAATTATTATTCTATACATTTAGAATTATATACAATATATATTTAGTATTTACTAAAACAAGCAAGATAATATAAAGCTATAATAGAAAAGAAAATTCCTCTAAAGTCTAGATTTAAATGTACCATATAACTCCCTAAAGTTGAAAATATTCCAAATAAAAAAAATATTCTGCACATATAAAACAGCAAATACAATTGTAATGGAGAAAACACATACATTGATCTGAAAAAAAATTGAATTATACTGAAACCAACTAATGTAAAATATCTTTCTTGAAGAAATGTATAATGACCTCACGAATGATAGAATGTAATACGGAAAATAGACAAGTGTATTTTTCAATGCTGCACAGAATTAATGACAGCGGAGTATGATTGTCGTTTAAGACTGTATTCTCCAATTCAATTATTTCTTTACGAAATGGCTCTAGTGCTTGATCCATTCCATCGAAAAGAGCATGTATATAAAGACCAGGAGTTATAGATTCTATAAAACACAAAATGGTTAAATTGATCATGAGACAATTATGTCAATTGCATAAAATGTTTCATCAAATTTCTCATCAAACCTTTTGTATTTTTGCTGTATATAAAATTTCGTATGACGTTACACTTCTTCACAAAATCTAATATTTTATTAAGTAGCGCCTGTTCTCCAGGATGTAAATACTTGTCAAGATCTATAGACTAGAAGAGAGATTGATGAGAAGTACGTAAAGATAATATTTAAGACATCTGTTCACTCACTGTTACAATTGCCACTAGATTGTAACATCAGAAACAAGAAAATATATAATAAAATGCAAATATTTGAACAGAAATTTTTTTAAATAAAATGACATTTTCTAACGATAGAATAAACTTATTAGGAGATACAGCCGTTTATCGAAAACTATCTTCTTTTTAGAAAAAATTAAATATTTCTATATATTATCACATAATTTTTGATAGTTTGTCATAGCTGTAAACATATAGCTCATTTTGTTTTTGATTATACACTATGCAAAAAGATTAAAGGTAAAGATTCGCTCTTTCGACCGCTGTAAACAGAATTTGTTCAGATTTTACGAATGTTCATTTATATCTCCATAACTTTATAAAAAATCAATCAGATCGAAATACCAATTACTGATATTGAAAATAGAGACTTTGAGCTTTAAAATTCTTTTTTAAAAGCCTTGTTATAATAATTTTTGACGAAGTTTCTCTTAAATAGTACCTATTTTTGGAGGACAGACTAAGTGATCCTTTAATTTTTGTATGTAGTGTATGTATAATTCATTTTAAGATATATGATTTATTAATAAAACAAAAAATTTTTGTTTTTATCTCAGTTTTTATATTTTACAAGACAGTTCTATCGATTACTAAGTATTATTTCATTTATACGTATTTTCATATTATTATATTTTGAAAAAATTTTTATTGCGAATCCTCTCGCACCTGACGTCATAATTTGAAATAGTAGTGGTGAGTGAACACACTGAACACTGAACAGGAGAGAGGCTTAAATGTATAATACTCTTCATTGATTGAGATATGTACTCACATCTGTTTCTATCATCTGCGATGCGTTGGTTGAACATCCCCAAAGTGACAATAAAATCTCGTGCAACATTTTTTAAATATTAGACATCAAGTAAATGATAAGAGATGTATTAATTCCACATTTAAGGTAATTATTCAGTTTAGCGACGTCGGCTCGAAAATCAATGAAACTATACTTATTCTACGCGTTTTTATCCGAAACAAACGAATTTGACGGAAAAAAGGATCGTTCTGTCCTGCGAATCGAAATATTGATCGTAGAAGTTTGCTAGTTGAGGTTACGAAACCTGTCATATCGATACAAGAGATTTGTTCGCGTATTTGCACTTTTTGCACTCAGCATCTTCAAAGTCAGTTCAAATTTATTCGCGTCGCATGCTCCAACATGTTCCAATCACGATGTAGTGAATCCATTGTAATTGGCTGAAATAGAACCGAGCAACCGTCAATCAGATTACTGGCTAGATATCGTATTTTCATTATTTAGAATATCTGGAAAAAGGACGAAAGTACTCTTATTAATCGAATGACGACAGAGGAGCATAAACGTCTAGCTGACATCGTGAAGGAAACTCATGCTCTGTTGCGCGCCGAGTGTCACCAATATGGCGCCGAGATGGCATGGAAACGCCATTTGGCGCGAAATGATGTTCTGCAGGTTTGCTTTAAATTTTTATTGCTCATATGGTTAAATTTTGTCCGTTCAGAGGGAGTAATACAAGTCAGAATATATTTAATTGCATAATTTCGTGTTATTTCAATATTATTTCAGAGATATGCTATATCCATGCAGAAATTGGCCACTAAGTGCTGGGTGGACAGTAATTCAGATTTGAGAAACGGAACATTCTGTAGAATAGAATGGATAAAAACTCAATGCAAAGAATACTTTTACAATGGTGGTAGAGAAAAATATGATAAGAAAGAGCAGGAGATAAACGCTAAAATGACTTTTTTTTCAGCAAAATCGTACAGTGAAAGTGCAACGTGCGAGAAAGATCCAAGCCATATGGAAAACGGTTTACAAAATTTTTATGAACGAAGAATATCGCTTTTAGATGTAGGAAGTTGTTACAATCCTATAAGTATCGACAATGCGTTTGATGTAACTGCGATAGATCTAATTCCCACGGTAGGAGTCTATCGATGCGATTTTTTGAACATTGTGATCGGAAAGGAAAAAATTCTCTCACGAGACATGCAGGAGATTTGTCAATTGCCCACGAATTTCTTTGACTCTGTGGTATTTTCCCTATTGTTGGAATATCTCCCATGTCCAAAACAGAGATACATCTGCTGCAGGAAAGCATACGACGTATTAAAGAGTGGTGGCATCCTGATTATTGTGAGTCCAGACTCGAAACACGTTGGTGCAAATGCGAGATTGATGAAATCTTGGAGGTACACGCTGAGCAAAATAGGATTCATGAGAATAAAGTATGAGAAACTACGTCACATTCACTGCTTGGTGTTCAGAAAGTGCGTGTACAAAGACGTAGCGATACGGTGGTCCAAGTTGCATCGTTTTTTTGAGACTGATAAGAAATATTTGTCCGAGACAAAGATTTTTATTCCGCAGGATTTTCAGACCGTCCGCTCTAAGGAAGAACGAGAGAAATTGAATGAATATGAGGAAACTGATATAGCGAGTGCTTTTTCTGAATTACCATTTAATAACGAAGCATCAACATAACATAATAATGTTTATACTTATTTGTATTTTGTTGGCAATTTTATTTTTGTTGATGTTAAATAAAACATTATATATATATATATATATATATATATATATATATATAGAAAACGCCTAAAATTTTAATATTTTCACATTTATTACCTATTTATTAGTCAGATAAATTGTAAAACATAAAAATTAGATCAAAGGGTTGAAACTCTAGATACACCGAAGTAGCGCAATTCTCTTATAGGAGCCGAAACGTTGACCAACTTTCCTATTGGTCGTGTTCAGCAGTGCCCCTATTTTCGAAAAGTGTCGTATTTGAAAAACTAAAGAAATACTACAGTATGTATCACATATACTATAGCATTTTCCTAGTTTTTCGTTTGCAATACTTTTCAAGAGTAGGGGCTTTGAATCAATTGTTGCGGAGCGGATCAGTGAGTGTTCGCTACTATTGGATGATCTAGAAGAATACACCAATAGCAACGAGCGCACAAGGATCTGCACCGCAACAGTTGATTCTGCTGCAAGCGAGCCATCGGCTATTTCGACCGCCATTTTCGATCTAATTGTCTATAGTTCAATAAGCTCTTATAGAGTATTCATTTATCGATTCGATCCGACTACGAGTCAATGGTCTGTTCTTTTTACCTGCAGTTCTTGCACAATTTAGCTCTTCTTTTGCAGCTAAACAGAACAGACCATTGGCTCGGAGTCTGGTCGAGTCACTAAGGGCCACTTTCACCAGTGTCGGTTTACTTAACCAGCCTAGTAACTGTATTGAAATAAAAAGAGATAGAACTATTTCTATCTCTTTCTATTTCATTACAGTTACTAGACTGGTTAAGTAAACCGACGATGGTGAAAGTGGCCCTAACTCCGGATCTACAATAGGGTTTTAAGCATTAAGCCATAAGAAATGGGCGAATCACAGTCGCTTATTTTTCTCGGATTCGACTGTAAAGCCTTGTATCCACGATGCTAGAAATCGGTTCGAAATCTCGGATGAAGAAAGCATTGACCAATCGCAATGGTCATGTGATCAAATTGTTCAAATGTGATTTGTTAATTTTTTCTCTGTCCGACATCTCGGACCGATTTCTAGCATCGTGGACATCGGACTTACCCGGATCTACAATAGGGTTTTAAGCCTTAAGCCATAAGAAATGGGCGAATCACAGTCGTTTATTCTTCTCGGATTCGACTCTAAATGGTCAGTTTCTTACGGCATAAGGCATAAAACACCTATTGTAGATCCGGACTAATTGGTCAGTTTCTTACGGCATAAGGCATAAAACACCTATTGTAGATCCGGACTAAAGCCCGTATCAGACTATCGACTCTGCAAGCCGACTGCCAACTCTGATTGCCGACCAATAATGGACCAATTACAATGAGACTGATTCAATGTGATTGGTCCATTATTAGTCGGTAGTCAGAGTTGGCAGTCGGG